TGTAGCATAACTGTGACACATTTCAGTCTTGGATGAATCAGCATTAAAGCAACAATGCATAAATGTTTCAGGGGTTATCGGCATTACGGCATAATGATGCAAGTTATCATGTCACCTCATATTTGTACTTCAAGTAGGATGCTGTGATTGTTGTGATTGCAATTTGATGATGTATGCGTCAATGGATAGCATGATTATGGCCTTCAATTCCTACCTCTCTCTAAGCTTACGTGCAGTAATATTAATACTAGTTTGTGTGTATATGTGTGTCTGTGATCCCGTTTATAAATATTAGAAAAGTTATCATTTTTAGTATGTGTATATAAAATAATTCCTTATAGAATAAATTTTTGAATCGATTGGAAACGTGTGACCCATAGACGTCATATGTTGGTGGTGGAGGGTGGTGAGGATGGTGTTTAATGTTTAATCACCACATCACATGTGTGCGACAGACAAATTTATCACATGATTTCAAAAAATCTGTGATTCTCTTTTTTCTGCTAAGAATAAAGAATGCTTTATCGAAATAGGTATAGGTAGTTATTCGTGTGTACATCTCTGCTAGTGTATATTTCTCTGCTCTACTTTGCGTTGCATTGCATCGCATTGCGTTGCCGTATTAACAACACAGGAGAGATCAATTATTAAAGTATGTTCTAATACATATTGTGATGATATATATTTCATTATCACATCGTGTGTGTTGGTCGAAGTAGTTGGTTTAGCTTAGTTCAATGATGGTGTTTTGCAATTTCTGCAAGTGAGTGTGATAATGATTGTTTGTGCGTGTGAATTTCATTCACAATATGTAACTGCATTTAGATAAAAATACATTTAAAAGTGGGAAGAACAAACATACCATGCAGGATAATATATACCAGCTTGTTTTGTAGCATGGATTCTCTTCAACTGTGTACATCCTGAAAAAAAACCAAATTATAAGTTCGGAAATTTTTGTGAACATACTTTTTTTTAAAAAACGAATCGATACTGAACAAAGAATACTCTTTCCGATAGTAATAGCTTGTGAGCAGCAGAGAAGCCAGAATTTTCTTTATATATACATATTGATTATTTCGAAGGCTTAACTGACTTTGATTGCTCACTAATACAGTCCAAAGTGGATAAGTATCCTAATCTTGTCAACTCTGACTGTAATTTACCGAATCATATGCACTTCGGGGAACGAGTACAGAGGAGGGACTGAGAGGTGAGCATCTTCTAGGTTTCCTGAGCCTGTCTCCAACAATGAAAAGCAAGAAAATCCTTGCCAGTACTATGGGTAAGCACCTGATTAATACTGAGGCATACAGTCGCGAAATCAGTCAAGCCTTCAAAATAATCAATATATACTAAGAAAATTCTGGCTGCTTCGTCCCTTAGAAGCTATTACTATCAAAAGATATTAACAAAATAAGATATAATCAAAAGATATATGAATACAGAAAAACATAGTTCGACTAATTTTGCCCTACTCTCGTAATTAGAGGTCTCTACTCTGTTTCTTGATTTTCTTTTTCGTTGCGTCACAATCTCTCCTGTGTGATTACTACTCACTGAGCTGAAGTCGTTATTAATTTACTGAATTTTCTACTTACGTAACAACTTTACTTATCGTTTGTGACGAGAACTAACAAATGAAATGTGAACTGATTAAAAATCCCCATTAAAATTTACAAAATAATGGATACTGAACAAAGAATACTCTTTTTGATAACTTCATCATCAGGCTCTACAGTTATATATACACTATAGTGAATGAATGAATTAGTGTTATGAACAACATTAATGTTGCTGTTTAAATAACATCGAATCAATAATGTTGATAGATTACATACAGCTCAATAGCATCAACATAAAATAAGGTGAATTTTAGAGAAAATTAGGAAGGATAATATTACAAATTCATGAATTTATAGTCTCTACTGAAGACCGGTCAGGGAAGTAGTAGGGGCCAGGTTTGCTTCTTTTGCACAAAGAGCACTGGTTGTTTCGGGCGAATGGCAATAACCTTTGCTGTTTGGAGCATGCGGCGCTTCGATGTTCTTAGCAAATTATTAGGCATCCGGTGGGTGATAGAGGAGGGCTTCAAGCTAAAGCTTTGTTGTTTCAGTAGCAATGGATTTATTTTTATGGGGTAAAGTTGCTAGTCTTACGCCCAACCTTCCCTCTTTTCTGGGTTTATAACCGACTAAGCGAGGTTTGGAAGTCCGGCGGCCGGGGATCGAACCCTGGATCACGTGCATGATTGGCGAGCAGTCAACCTCTGCGTCACCAGTGCACCTAGACAGATAGTACAGAGTGCATAATTCCAAAAAGGATATAAAAGACTATTTATGGTATAATTATACTTAGCTTGGAAACGAGGATGGACCAGAGACAAACCTTAACGTCGAACAGCGACATAGTGAATTTATGCATAATTATGACGGAGAATTCAAGAGGTTGGGAGTGGGTATTAAATTGTGACATGGACAAACAATTAAGTCGATTTGGAAACTTAATAGTGAGTTCAACTCAGCAAGAGATCGAAATCAAAATTAAGTGGAATGTTATGCAACAGAAAAAACAACAACACAGAAACACACGAACAAAACAGTTAGAGTTACCAGAGCAATGAGAGAGATTAGTCATACTATTTTTCTGCATACAAAAGTTGACTCTAAGTCTTTTGATAACAATGGCTTCTACGAACTGAAGTAACCATGGTTTTCTTTGTGTATTGATTCAATTTTGAACTTTTGGCTGATTTCCTCTGTGTGTTCCATGTCAATTAGGTGTCCTATTATCCTTTAAATATATTCGTTCTTTCTTTATTCAAACTAAATAGAGGGAAATTGTTGTAGGAAATATCTAAGCTGGGTTTTCAAGTTATTGCATTTCGGAGCAAATTTGTAGAAAAGGAGTATTATGAAACGATAGTCGATAAAAGATATAGTCATGAAAGGATAATTAGGCAGATGGAGGTCAGTGAAGACTAGTGGCATATTTTGCTTTGACCTCCCGCAACACTGTTTTCAGCTCACATTGCTCATAGATGAAGCCTTACAATCGCATCGATCAACTCTCCTCTCTTTACCACCTAAAACTCTACACCTAACCTCATTATTTTTCATTATATTACTCCACCTAGTATGGGAGATTGGGTGGAAGTATCTAGGACAAAATCCGACTAGTCTATTCACGCCTTTCATTTTCAAGAGTCATACCTCACAGTGTTTATTTTAAACGAAGTTATACTTTTGCAGTGTAAACATACTATTTAATGGATGTTTGGATATCACGTCAGTGGCGAAAACAGTGTAAGTTGGCAAATGATGTCCGTTTTGAGATTTCGTCAGCAATCAGTCTATTAGAATTGATCCAACCCGACAAACAAGGATAGCGGTCAACCGTTTCACTTACTGTACTTCAGTTAGGAGTCTGTGTGGACCAGGTCTGATGGGAAGTAAGCAGCAACATTGATTGAATCTATTACTGTCAGCAGGTTTCGTCTCAAGTTATAACTCTACATATGTAGGATAATTCAGGTCCAATCACAAAGTCGATTGATATTAACGGAAAAGCATTACCTTATGCTGTCAGTACAAAGTGGTGAAAAGTCTACTCGCTGATGAAAATCTGTAATAAGGAGAAACGTGGGAATACTCGAAAACTAACTAGGAGTTAGCACCAAATCAATAATTGCTTTGCTATCTTACGCATAGCAAATTTAAATTCACCAGGATATTTACTCAATGTGTTCAAAAGGTTATAACTAGTCAGTTACCGCAGAGCATTTCCGAATTCGGATAACTACAAATCTTGTGACCTAAGAGACTGTAATTGGTTTATCGTTACCGTTGGATCGATAGCTCACACAAACTCAACCTGATGGAGAGAACATCCGATTTCAGTACTCCGTCTCTAACAATTTATTTGTCTTTACCTGTTATTGATATAAGTATAAAACTTGGGCACTACTGTGATAGAGTATGACTCCATTATAGATAAGATTTTATTTTGATAAATCACACAGTGTTGTACAGTAATATTAACTAATGACGTTTCAAGCACAAACTATTGTTCATAATCATATCAAGTTGATATGATTTGTTTGTGCTCGAAACGTCATCAGTTAATATAACTGTACAACACTGTGTGATTTATCAAAATAAAATCTTATCCATAATGGAGTTAACCTGTTATCCTAAGTCACTATCTCTCAATGTTTTTGGAGGAAATTCTTCCAACTACTTGCTTCAAGTTGACCATGGCTTGATATTAGTTAGAGAACTTTTGAAAACCATAGAGTACTGGACATCTAGTTATTTTATCCTAGTTTGAGAATCATTGGCAGTACGCACGCATCACAGTTTGAACCCAGGACCTTCTTGTTACAAGGCGACCTCGTAGACCGTTCATCCACTGGGGTGGTACCTGATTCAGTGGCCCACGAGGGGTCAAATGTAATTCGAATTATTTTCAGATGAGGGGTCCTAAATCGGACGAAATGAGCATGCTGGATTCCACTGCTAGCATGCGAAACTAGTTTATCTTCACAATAAGCCAACCTCAGTATAATCTCTGTCTGATTATGTTATCAAGAATGGTGTCTCAGTTTCTGATTCACCTTTAAGTATCCTCTTCGATCTTATCCTTACTTCATAAAATCGCTTCGCGTCATTGGTTTGAAAAAAGCAAGGTCAAATATATTTGCAAACATATTGAACTTCTCTCCTTAGTTTAAAGTTGTTAATCTTTGGCGGTGTGTGTGTGTGTTTGTGTGGGTAGTGATGAATACTATTGTTGTTTGTTACATAGTATTTCTTTGATTAACTTTCAGTTGGGTCAGCCTCTTTCATAGTCTTTAATTTACTGTGATTGTTAACAAGAACTTATCGGTTGGTAAGCCGGAGTCACTATTTCATTATTCATCGCCTAAATGCGTTTTCAATCAATCAATCAATCAATCTATGTATCTCTCAATGTCTTTTTTTATTGAACTTTCCTCTCAGACCACTGAACCACCTGTTTATGTGACTGCACAACTTTATAATTGGAATGGTTGGTACTTTTTCTGTATGGGTCAACTACTGTCTATCTTCAATGGATTCGCTTTTATTACAATTCAGCTGCAACCAGAAGATGGTTGTCTACGTATCTTATGTATTCATCACCACGGGAATAGAAGTAATCCGACACCCGTACAACTACATCCAGGAGAAAATCCATTTCCACGACCCGGTAAGTCTACGCTTCTGTTACAAGTTGACTTATGATAATAATTCACAGAGTGTGGTGGTAGTTTTTGTAGAAAATCCACCGTTGTCATTTGGTAGGTATAGTAAAAATAATGATTCAAATAATTCTTTGTTCACTTCTAATACTCTTTAACTAGGTTAGGCTTTTGTTCATTTAAGCCTGTAATATCCTGTACATTATTATTATTATATTATTTCCTTTAATTCCTAGAGGAACATAGGACTTCAACCGCACATCTCCGTCGCGTTCAGTTCTCTGCTAAAGTTTTCACCTAACTCCAAGTCTCCCCACGTGCTTTCATCTCCTCTTCACATGACCTCCTCCAAGTCACCATTGGACGACCAACTCGCCGCTTCCCTTTCGGGTTACATTTGAGTGATGGCCTGGCATGTGATATCACTTGATGGTTTTCTCAGAGTGTGGCCAATCCACCTCCATTTCTTCCTTCTTATTTGGTACACAATCTGGTCCTGGTTGGTTTGCTCCCAGAGGTCACTCCCTACTAGGTGACATCTTCAGTGCATACTTCAATTTAAAGTGAGCATTTAGATTTCTCCACGAGTTTATTAATCATCTCTCCTGGTGACTTTGGACGTCACATCCAGCTCAGAGAACACAATCACATCAAAATCACTCCCTATTGCTAATCTGTTTCGACCATCAGATATCTTGAGTATTGAGCGAAGACAGCTGTTAATGTGCATGATGCACCAAGTCTCTGATCCGTATAGTAGCACTGACTTCACATTGGAGTTGAAAATCCGGATCTTATTTTTCATGCTGAATGCTGTTGACCTGCACACAGACTTGAGAGTAATGAAAGCTTGTCTTGCTTTCCCGATTCTTGCTTTGATATCCTCATCAGTTCCATCCGCCTGTAGTTGAAACGATGCTTCCCAGGTAGGTGAAGGAGGTTGTTTCTTTCAGGTTCCTCCCATTTATGCTGGCTGATTGTTGTCTGTTGTTGTTTCTGTGGTTGTTGGTGTTGGCCAGGAATCTTCATCACCACTGTTTTCTCTATATTCACCTGAATGGTATCCTATCTTTGATGCTTCTTCTACCGCCAGCTTGTTGCATTTCACTTGCATATCTTCCAGTTTGTGGGAAATCAGACATATATCATCGTCGAAGTCCAGATCCTCCTGTACATTATATGTTCATTAATCATATCTATAAAATTTGATGGTTCGGCGTTTCTCTGGTTTCTAAGTTACTGAGTGTCTGGTCTATTATCATCATTGTCAACATTTCATGACGGCGGTTATCTGCTAAAAGTATGGTGTTTCCATAGTTTTGTCTTTATTATTGTAGGTCCCGTTTTTGGGTTCAGAGTTCAACTTTGGACATAGAGTGATTTATTTATGCGTGTATATGTGAGTGCCTTTCTTTCTCTAATTTGACATTTAGCTAATTTGTGCTATGAAGCAGTATTATCGTTTTTGTTTAATTTCATCATTGTATGAAAGTTTTTTTAAAAAAAGTGTAAAACCCATAGAAATTCACTTGTTCTCAGTTGTATCGTTTAAAGATCTTCGAGTTGATTCCTTCATTCCTTGTAATGATGGAAATAGACTTGTTATGGTCTTGAACGCCAGGGAACCAACGGATCTCTGCATCGTACTGTGTATAGCTGTCCGAAACCTCTTTGAGAGATATGCACAGTCACAAAACACTCCAACGTTAGCAAACAGATGATTATTGATCCATAGACTTGATGGTTCTGTTCAACAATAATAACACCGAAATCTCGAAATTATCTCAAAAGCAACAATCGAATAACACACAAAAGGAATTGCATACAAACACTATTCAAGAGGGCAAGGACTCATTGCAGCACTCCGACATTAAGGAAAATTGGAGAAAAATACCTCATGGACGTCCTTAAAAAAATGGATATCCACGGAATTTCATCAAAAGACATATACCCCAAGCCAACCTATAAAACCGAAAGCCCCCAAGGAAAGCACAAAGAAAATCGCATTACCATATATAAAGGATATCTCAGAAATCACTACAAGACTCTTCAAAACTTTAGGAATTGACGTCGTACACAAACCAACAAAGTCGCTTCACTCAATTCTATGTCAACCAAAAGACTCAACAGCGAAAGAAGACAAAACCAACATCATCTACAAAATAAACTGTAATAACTGCGAAAAACACTACATTGGCCAAAGTGGACGTCCCCTTCGTCTTCGTATCCACGATCATAAGCTAGCCGTCAAAAGACATGATATCCACTCCCTCATTTCACTACACAGACAACTACGGACATCAATTCGACTGGGACAACGTTCAAATATTAGACAGAGGAAACAACAAGATTACCAGAAAAGCCTGGTATTCCAGTGAATCATCAATTAATAGATACATCGAGATAGACAAAATTTACCAACCGATCAGAAGGAAACCTCATACACAAAGGGTCAAAGTTCAGGTCAAAGAAACAATCAGTTCCAATACAAGTAACCTACAAGGTGTGAAATCACACAAAAACAACCAATCACGTTCAAGGTGATCACCAGGAGGGATGATTAATAAACCCGTGGAGAAATCTAAAAGCTCACCTCAATTCAAATTGAAGTATGCGCTGAAGATGTCGCTTCGCAAATTAACTATCCAGCTCAGAAAACACAACCACCTCACAATCATCCACCTGAGCTACAAATCTTCTCCATCATCTTTCAACAGTACCGTTAGACAGCTATATAGGTAAGGTAACTTTCAAGTACAAAACAAGTAGTGTAGAATAAAATTAATTAACCAAATTTCAGCCGTAAGAAGTACCTTAGAATCAGGTGGAATATTCGCAGCGGTGGGATCAAAATCTTTCAGCAAGAATTACGCGCCAAACAACCCTCACAGACATTTCAAAGCCAAAATGACAATAAAACCTAATAAATACACAACCACAAAGTGAAACACTTAATTTAAAGATTAAACAGGAACAAAGACAAAACAATAAGGATCAAGTCGACACATGATATGCAGATGTCACAACAATGATATACAGTCTAGCAGAAAAGAGGATAATAACAACAAAGTTAACTGAAACGTTCAAATAATCATCAATATTGTATTCAGATTATTCAGGAGTGTGATCTTTCCCTTGTCCCATATCCCTGTGTGTTTATTCCGTAGATATCTCATGTCACACCGCCTTTTTACTAGTTTTTCATCGCTGATTTCTTGTTTTAGGTTTTTCTCACTGGTTATAACGCGAAGTGTGTGTTACTGAATTGTTTATGGTCGTGTAACTTGACTGGAACACAGCATTATAACCAACTGATCAGTTGAATTCATCTACCACACTGAGATCGATAAAAGAAAAGTCAGTCTGGGAGAGACGACGACTGGAATGATGACAACAATAACAATAAATAACGAGCGCAACAATATTTATTAGACAAAACACATGGTATATCTATGATATTTACGAAATCTCAGGAATTTAAGCCATAAACAAACGAATGGAAACTGATCAATTAGGTTATCATGTCAGCACATGCGTAAATCATACATACGTCCACCGGCTCACTCGTATTCTGAAAAAAAGTCGTTTAGCTTGTCTACGTGAAAACATACATGGTTATTGTAAAAACGTCGATTAAGATTATATTGGTGGCTATAAATTAAAGCCTAATTCATACACAATTCTTCCCACTAATAAACTTGAACAAAGCAAGAATGACAGATGTACCATTGTGACAACGGAAGACAAGGGCCAGGCAACATATCATTTACTAAGGAAATCAACACATATTTATAGATTTTCATGTACATATTATAGATTATTGTTAGTAGACAAACACAGTCTTCTGATTAGTGGCTTCTCACTGAAAGCTAATCTTTCATCTCTTGGTGGCTGTATCTTGAATGTCAGATCATCTCTCTGCTAACTATATCCGCCTACGCAGTCTTTGTTCTTATTTTTCTCACGACTAATATTTGCGACATAAGCATTGACGTAAATTAATGTCTACCGATTTGGCAAGCTGACAGCTCTCACCATACCATCTCTCATCCTTTATTATTTCGCGGTTTCTTCGTATCTGGTTACATGTACGTACTAAAACACATACATGAGGAGAACAGTAGGAAGAGTTCTTATCCGCATTTCTGAACACATACGTAAGAACCTGAAACCAAAGGGCTCACAAGCATTAAACACTGCTATCTCACGCCATCTGTTGGACATTAGTCATATTGTGGGAATACCTGAGGACGTTCGAAATAATAAATAGGCAAAGGAAACCTAGCCTGCTGCGTTTTGCTGAGACGTAATCGCCATCAAACGGTTTTAACCAAATCAATGTACGCAGAAAAAGGCAGTGGTGGATCTACCACTGCTTTGGTGATAAAAAAAGTATATAAATCTTATTACGTCATCTTCTCTCCTGTTTAGAAAGAATTTATTGTTACATCTAAATATGACTCACTCTAACCCCAAGTTTTTGCTATTTTATAAAACCATATTTCCTGCAGTTACTCAAACTATACTCTTTCCGGTTAAACTTCGTTTCTACTCAAAAATTTTGTTGAACTCTGTTTTTATGATCCCAAACATATTCGTCTAATTATCCTGTATACACAGTCAATCCGTTTAACTCTTAATTTAGTTAGCAACTTCCCTTATTTCGGACCTACGTTACTTCCAGCGTTCCTATCAGTTACTCCTTGTCGTCGTGGAAAAACTATGTAGCATATTTGTATGGTTCTGCTTGTTACCAGCTGAGAAGAAAACGTGAAATAATATGAAGAATGAGCTTATATTTATCGATTGTATAGTGGTGAGTATCTCCGCCTGTCACGTGGAATGCCCGGGTTCGACTCCCGGTCGAGGAGCTGGCTTTTGTCGGTGACACAGCAGTTGGAAAGCTCGCCGACCATGCACATGGTCTGGGGTTCGGTCCCCGGCCACAGACGCACTGTTTTACCTTGCTAAGCCAGTACTAGAGCTGGCAAAGAGGGAAGGTTGGGGA